AATAAGTTAGCATCCTTCTTTACATCCTGATTTGACACTTCTGTACAGTAAAATCCTTCCAGAGAATCTAAAACTAAACGGGCAGCATTAGGAGCAGCTCTTAATGCATTTGGTATTTCATCCCTTACAGCAGCCAGGTTCTTACGGTTATCAGATATGAATTTGTGAATTCCAGCAGCATCCATCTCCTTGCATAATTTCACCAACTCTGGATAAGATACCAACTCCACATTTCCATTTTCAGGAAGTTTTACATCTTCCACATTACCTTCAGCTGCAGTGGACACGTTATCCACAGGTTTCTCCTCTACAACTACTATCCCTCCTTTACCACCATTTGAGACAGTAGCCAATTCGTGTGATGAAATCTTCCTGTGCTTTTCTCGAGCATTTACAATGGCAAATACAGCAGCGTCTCTTTTCTCTTGAATCCTCTGGAACGAAGCTTGCTCCTTGGCAAAAACAGCGGCTTCCCGCTTCTCCAACAGCTGGCGAGCTTTCATTGTCTTGTTTTCAAACTCTTTCTCCTGGTCTTCCAATTCATGAAAGCGCCTCTTCAAGGATTTCTCAAGACCATGAAAATGTTCCTCTAGTTCTTTCCATTTCATGTTAAGTGTAACAGCCCGATAATTTTCAAGTTCAGCAAATGCCTTCTGCAGCTGTTGTATCTTAGAAGTTGTAGAATCCATCAGTGTAGCAACTGAATCCGAGTCTTCCATAACAGAGAAGCTGAAAGTAAATAATGAAACCAAAACCAAGTTTAGAATTTTGTACACACAGACCACGTGCAGTAGCAAGAACTAAACATATACCATCAATGAAAATAGTCATCATCTTGATATGAGGATAGTCATACATGCACCAAATGAGAAAAACAATATTTGTACTATCCAGATGCAAGAAAAATAAAACAATAGAAGACAGATAAAAGTTGTCACTGAGAACATAAATGATGAAGGTTGAGAGAAAAAGCTAATAAGGCTTACGGTTTTAGGCTTATGATAATGCATAATCAATTACCTAAAATAGGATTTTGTCAGACATGATTTTTTGGCAGTGTTTTGAACACAACACTGTGAAGTATATATTATAGGGTTAAGGTTGAAGTTTCTAACTTCTTATACATTTCAGAACTAAGTAGCTTACAAATTTTGCAATGAAGACTGGCAATTAATAATGTGTGCTCCTCAAAAACTCCCTCCTTGATAAAGTGTGTGCTTAATTCAGCTTATTATGAAGAAATAATTGGTTATTATAGTAAGATTTAGAGAGAATTTTTAAAAATAATCAATAACGACCTAGATTTTAAGATTTTCCAGTTAAACACTGAAACTGAACACTTTATTGCAAACAAAAATCCAACCATTTCTGTTACAGAGTATTAATGACATATTCACACAAAAATAGATACTATTTTCATATAGTGAAGTCTGCTTACAGATTTAGAAATGAAATTATTAGCATGAACACAAAAATGACCAGCATTCAGTAAAATTATGCTCCAATTTGCAATGATATCTACACATTAGTATTAAGATTCTCTCAAGTGAAGAAATAACCGTATAGTGGTGCAATTCCCATTCAACAGTTTCATATTTACTTGAAATAAACCAAGAAAGCTTATTAGAAGATTGTCAACTATTAATCATTAATTATACTCTGAAATATAATTTGAACGGCTTACACAATAATAGCAATACCCTACAGCTAAAGTTAATACTACGAGTGAAAAAGAAAAAAGAATCTAAAGCATCTTCCCCCACGGACAACTCATTTAAGTACACAATGGGCGAAGCTAGCCTTATTACATCATCAAAAAATCCAGCTGAAATTTCAAAACAAAACCCGAGTTCAATCCACTTAATTAACTATTTTTGGCATCAAATTTTAACCCTCCACGGAATCCTCACCTGTTCATTTCTATATAATTCGTCGGTCAGCTTAATTAGTTACTAGAACGACCTTCAGACTCCAAAAACAAAAATTAAAAATAAATACTAAGAAACTTACCAACGAAGATATCCAGATCCAAACCTTCTGAATCACGCCAACAAAAACCCTAAAATAGAAACAGGGGCAAATCAGCACAACATTTCTACTCATTAGTTAAGGCAAGACAATTTCAACCATAAAAAAAAAACTCATAAAAATAACTAATAAAACATATCAAAAGACAACAATTATAAATCGAATAAAATCACAAGTTCAGTTGAGCATATAAAAAAAAATAGCACAATTCACCACAGTGCAGTTCGTGAGCAGATTTCGAGCACAATGCCCCGAAAATCTCTCAATCGACGAACGCAGTAAGCGGATTCCTGCTCCGCATAAACAGACAAAGCCGATCTAAACCGACAGCAAGAAAACAAAATCACGGAAATATATACATATATTTATATAGAAAGATAGAGAGAGAAAAAAAAAAGCATTACCTAATTGACGTGAAAAAAAAAAGTAAAAAAAAAAATAGAAAGAGAGAGAGAGAAATTGTCAATCCATTTTCTCACAGAAACGTGAAACCCTAGGAGAGAGAGAAGTGAGGAGAAGAAGACGAAGAAAAGAATATGTGGTCGTAGTGTCTGTTTAATTAATAGAGTGTGTCTCTGACACTCTTTCTTCACTATTTTTTCTACTGTCTTTTGTTTTTTCCTTCTAAAATTAGTATTTTAAATAATAAGATTTTTTTAACTAAATTATAATATCTAAATAAAAAACATTCATTTAATATAGTTATAGTTACACAAAATTACTTTTTATTGCAATATATTTCAATTTTATCTGCATATATATTTTTTTTTAATTTTTTAGGGTCTTGAAATCATAAAAAAAAAAGTAACATATGTTAAGCATAAAGTTTTAAAAATAATTTTTAAATATAAAAGTGAAGATATATTTTAGCCTAAAGTGAATCATTTGAATTCTTTATTTAATTGGAATTTCTATTTTGAGAGTCCGTTTTGGAATTGGCGATGTTCCGTAACAGACAGAGAAAAGGATTGAGGAAACTGCGCAGTGTGTGGTTGAATGGAGTGAATGCGACGGTGTCTTCGACAAAGTTAACAAACAGATATTCTTCTCGGGAGCTGTTACAGTCACGTATGTTTTTAATAATTTAAAATATATTACAAATTAATTTATAAAAATTAATTTATTTTAAAAATACATAAAAATTCCAAAAAATGTAAAATTTATGTCATATCATATTTAAATATTGGAAAGAATAATAAATAAAATAGTATCATTAACTACTAAACATGTATGCAAATATTATTATATATCAAACAGTTATTCACACTATTTTATACTTTGTCAGTTTGAAGAATGTATGCAACAATTATTAATTATTCTATAGCATTTGGTGATAATACTAACTAATAATCAATCAACACTTCAACAGTAAGGATGGCAAATCTGAATTATTAGTTGACAATGAATATTGGGAAATAAGAATTTTTAATCAGATTTATATATAAGAGTAGGGTTACTTTAAATATAAAAGATTACGGTGTATATTTTTAATTATTAAAATAATTTTAATTTTTTGGTATTCTGGTTAAATTTTATATAAGTTTTTTCTGGTTAAAATTTTTAATATTTTATTACCTTTTATTAAAAATGTTGTGAATTAATATTTGAGTTGTTATAAACATGAAATCTATTCATCATCCAATAGAAATAAGATTGAATTACAAATTTTTATCTATCACTTATATAGAAAACGAATATTAGATAACTTTTTTTAGAATGAAACGTATATAATATTTATAGTTAAACTTGTATCCATTCAATTCTCGACTATTTATAAGTTCAATAATTAGTGCAACTTAAGATTAAAAAAAATCAAATAATTACTTAAACAATTTTGTTATTACAATCTTATCTCACTCTCTAAAAACATTAAAGCGGGTATATTTGAAATACTGTAAAGGATAAAACTACAATAATTTTGGGATGTAGAAACTGTATTTCATCACAGGTTTGGAAACACATTTAACATCATTTTAATAAAAATATTTATTATTTTTCCAATCAGAATTTTTATTATAACAAAAAAAGTGAAGTTTATAGATGAAGTGTAAGTTTTATACATCAACTATTAAAAAGACTTAAACATGATTTTGGTATCCTTATTTTACTCAATTTTTAATTTTGGTCTTATTTTAAAGCATCTCAATTTTAGTTCAATCCTTAATTTTGCATATATTTTTTCTTTTATTTTGGTTTAATTAGACCTAGGGCTAGCATGTTCATTTAAAGTACCGTAAAAGGTTATTTAATTAGTTAAAGTGTAAGAAGTTGAAAAAATAAAAGTAGATCAAATTAACTAATGAGCCGAATTTTGTTGTTGTGTTGGTGTGTATAATATATATATATATATGTGTATATATATATATATATATATATATATATATATATATATTTTAATATGGATCACATGTTTCTATTAAAAAAACCAAATTGTAGATTAATAGAAGAGTAAAATTCTACGTAAGTCAATTAAGAATAAGCAGTTACTTTTAAAGCAATTATTATAAAAGCAAAATTTATTTTTTTATTATTATTATAAATCACATTGATGGAATCACTAAAATAATTGCTTGGTTTGCTACATGCATCTATGTCTGGTCTCCTATTATAAAGAAAATAAGTTTTAACTTGACCTATTAAAAAATTATAAAAAAAAATCAAGTTTGTTACTTTTACATCCCTAACTCAAATAGTCAAATTCAATTAAAGAATAGTATATTATCAGCTTAGCCTATGTTTGAATAAATAAAACATCGACTAGAGGGGAATTGATTTTATAAAATAAACTAACAATAAAATAAATTAATATGTACTTTAAGAATAATATAAGCTTAAAACAATTGAGTCATAAGTGTAGTTGCTAAGATGCAGTGACGAGGGTCTAGGTGTACAGTTTAAAAGAGAGAAAACATGAAGTGTAGTTCCTAGGATGCAGTAAGAAATGACAATGAGATCTAAGAAAGAAGAAAATATAGTAGAAAGGTACACAGGGTATACATTAGAAGATCAGAATATGTTCTAGTACAGAAGTTAAAATTTGAAGATGAGATTTGATCAGTTTCAGCGATTCTTAGAACTACATAGATAAAGTGCAACATACAACAGCTTAAGGGTTAAGACTTAAGACTAAATATTAAACAAAGTGGGTCTTGGTCATCTGCTCACCGTGTCTGGCGCATGCTAACTAGTGGAGATATGTGGCTTGGTACTGATAAGCATTCCCAAAGTAGTTGGCAGGATTAGGAGAGATGTTATAAGTTGCAGAAGCCATGAGAGGGGGGCAGTGATTGTCAGTTGGTCCAGGGTACATGTAAGATCGGTCATACACATATTGAGGAGGATACCTGTCAGCAACTCTAGCATATGAAGTTTTGTCAGATGGAAAGTTAGTGACACGTGGACCATATCCAGCACTGTTAGCACGGGGTCTCTTCGGTTGAGGCTTTGTTGCTTCAGTTACCCTTTTCTTGTCAGCCTTCGCCTTCTCCAGTTGGATCACTCGTTTCTGGAGAGGTTCCAGAGGATACTGCTCATACAGTTTATGATCTTCAATGCACTTAATTACAGCCTTAAGTGCAATCAGCTCTCGCTCGTTAACATCAATCTGAGACAGTAGCATCTAATTAGGAATATCACAGAAGGGACAAATATATATTCACACACAAACAGGTTTAAAATCAAACATCAAGATCAGATATCTTCAAGCATACAAATATGGACCTAATGGAGACACCAAAATATGTTTTTGCAATGCATTGGTACAACCCTCACACAAACCAAGACAGTGAGTGAACGTCTCTTCCACCAATTTTTGGAGGGACTTGACTAACTTCTCATCCCTCTAAGTTTTTGAAATCAGAGCATTTCTGTCGTCGTTATTTCAACTAAAGCAATGTAAAATCTCGTTATTTCTATTATAGACAAATTTACACAACAAGATTGTGTTTCTTTTTGCTGGTTTGGCTTATGACAGAAGCTAACACTCAGAAAAATTAATAGAATTATCATAAAGCCAATTACAAGCAAACCCTTCGTTCATTTTCCATTCTACCCCAACCCTCTCAGTCTTATCTCATGAGTCATCAAGCCTCACACAGACATTCACACCTGTAGAAAATTTTAGTAGTGACAGCGCTACTCTCGATTGTTGCAAATCTAGATAACTGCATCAGTTACATATCAACTATGCATTCCTAAATAGTCCTTGAATTGATCTACATGGGGCCTCCATACGGTTTTTATAAAGGTATAGCTCCAAATTATGCATACTGAAAAATTCTTGTATCATTCTCATTTTAAAACAGTCAACTAGGGTATGGTTTGAGAGATATACAAGTCCTTAAAGAAACAAAGGTACTCCCCAAAGCAGACAGATTACACACTATCTGTGAAGGTTCATCAGCTGGGAAGTTGCTATGCAGGCAAAGGTCTTAGAGAAATGGAGAGCAGAAGTGTTGGAATCAAAATTTGACACTGAAAACCTAGGGCAACAAGAAATGCTTTTTTGTATTGGAAGATGCAGTCCAAAAAAAAATATTAGTTTCAAAAACATGGGGATATGTCAAGCATTGGGCTGAAACTGGTTTGACAAATGAACATGGAGGTATGTCAATTATTGGGGCTGAAAAGGCTCTAGAAAAACTAAGAGTAGAAAACCAATTGAAGGCCAATTAAGTCATAACAAGGCAGGCAACCATAATCTGATAGACTAACAAAATCCTATTGCCAAATTTGAAATTTGAACTTCAACTTAATTTATATCTCTATATTCTGAGCTTATTTGTGAGGGTGAGCCTCCGTGCAGTGCAGCACTGACATTACTGCTCCGTGACCTAGAGGTCATGAGTTCAAATTCTCGGCTTGCTGGGTTTGGTCTGTGTACCCAGGACCCACTAGGTGAGAACTTCAGCACTGGGCTGCCCACTTTCTACCTTATTTGCCAGAACTTATTTTGTAACATTTTGTATTCATTTATGCATGAAAGTAATCTGGTAAGATATTCAAAACTGCACCTCAATGAAATGAGTAACCTAATCCAAATTCCTAATCAAACCAAATAGGTAAATAAATATGGAGGCGTAGTAAGATTGGGAAAGAATTCATAAGATTGCACCTCTACCAGATGACCTTTTTTTTTTCTGAAAATCTAAAACCATTTCCAACACAACCATTCCTATGTAATAACCAAGCTCAAAATTTCACGTTGACAAAAAATTATAGACAACTTCAATAGACAGGGCATAAAGTCTGGAGAACTCATACATTTCAGAGCACTAGTTCAAATTATTACAAGAAACAGATGGATAATTACTCGATAAAACAGATTCTGAACAACTTACCTGTGCTGTCGGAGATGAGTTAACATTTTTGACGGGAGAAGAAGTTTTCCTAGCATCCTTCAAGTAAGACTTCAGTAAAGGAATAGGTGAAAATTGTTCTGTAAGATCAAATGCAAAAGCCAAGTTAACAGCATCAATTTGCCGCCCACTATTCACCAAAACTTCAATGACACCTGCACATGAAAAAGCCAAATCAATCATTAGAAATAAAAATAAACAGATGCAATAACTCAGTTACTTCACTCTCGGGATCAATTAGATGATAAAGTCATTGGTGTATGCATGTCAAAAGCCATTTTGGGGATTATGCTATGAAACTAAGTTGAAGGTTTGCACTTGTTATGTCCATCACTGTTTACTTTGCAATGTATAAGTTTTAGAGATTTTCTTAATTCTTACAAGATAATTTATATAACATTAATATTCATATTCATTAATTTTCTTTGAACATCCTAACATACAAATGCAACTGATTTGATTAGCCTTCACTTTCATGAAAGCAAACGAGCCATTACTTATTAAAATTCATGTTTCCTTTTTCGTTTTTTCCTATCAATAATTTAGCAAGAAGCATCCAGCATGCTCATTCACGAAAAGCAGTCAAATACAATTAATGGCCCTGGAAAAATCCTATTACTAATGAACGATTCTGCAAGGTACAGAGTACTTAAGCAAGATGCCACGTTTATAATCACCAAAGAGAAACATAAGGAAATACTTTTCTCAAAACATAAATCCAAATATATATATATTCAAAGAAAAATATACGTGTAGATGAGATGATTATATGAAGACACAGTATATAGAATAAAAAAGTAAAAGCCAACTTAAATGCATTTTCCTTTAGCTGTATAAGATTTTTGTTCAAAACCTAAGATTCTTTATTTGAGGTATTGATCTTTGTCAGAGACAATAAATGAAGTAAAGAACAAATACACACCAGGCATCTTCTCTGACAACCCAAGGTAACGGCACAAATCAGCAGTTTGGCGACGTCGAGATACCATTGGAATTAGCCTGGATAACTCTTCCTCATTAAAACCAGATGCAATACCAAAACTTGCTAGAAGTTGCAAAAATGCATGAGCTTCCAAGGAATTCCCATTGCTAGCATCCATGTCAAGAGTATCCAATCTGGGTTTCCATTCCTCAGCAACTGTCTTTGCCCTGTCTTTGATATCTTCTGAAATTACATTAGAAACACAATATGAGTTTCTCAGGAAATCACACAGACATTCCATCAGCATGATACATGTTCGTCGAAGACCCAATAAGTTAGCATCCTTCTTTACATCCTGATTTGACACTTCTGTACAGTAAAATCCTTCCAGAGAATCTAAAACTAAACAGGCAGCGTTAGGAGCAGCTCTTAATGCATGTGGTATTTCCTCCCTTACAGCAGCAAGGTTCTTACGATTATCAGATATGAATTTGTGAAGTCCCGCAGCATCCATCTCTTTACATAGTTTTACCAAGTCTGGATAAGACAACTCCACATTTTCAATTTCAGGAGAAAGTTCCACCTCTCCCACTTTACCTTTAGCCGCAAAGGACACGACATCTACTGGTTTCTCCTCCACACACAATGCCCCATTACCCCTATTTGAGACAATAGGCAATTCACTTGACGAAACCTTCCTGTGCTTTTCTCGAGCATTCATAATATCAAATACAGCAGCATCCCGTTTCTCCTGAAGCCCCTGCAACGTGGCTTGCTCCTTGGCATAAACAGCTGCTTGCCGCTGTTCCAGTATTTCCCGAGCCTTCCTCGTTTTGTTCTCAAACTCTTTTTCCTGGTCTTCCAATTCATCAAATCGCCTCTTCAAGGATTTCTCAAGACCATGAAAATGTTCCTCTAGATCTTTCCATTTCAGGTTCAGAGTAACAGCACGGTAACTTTCAAGTTCAGCAAACGCCTTTTGCAGCTGTTGTATCTTGGAAGTTGTAGAATCTATCAGCGTAGCAACTGAATCCGAGTCTTCCATAGCAAAGTAGCTAAAAACAAGTAAAATAATTAACTAAGTACCAATTACCAAACGTCAACTTATGTAATATCTAACGGTATTCATAGGGAAAATAAATAAGAATAATCTAGTACTGCATTATCCTATTTTAGACAAGTCTTTATGGTCAAAAGCTTCACAAACTTCACTGAGATTAGGATTCAGTAAATTTAATATTTTATTTAAAAAATATTTACCAAATTATCAATTATTATTTTCTTTACAATCTCTCTAGCGGCTTGATTGATCACTAAAACTCCCAAGAACACTACCAAAAACAGAAATCTGACAAGAAAACAAAACAACTTGCCGAAAGCAGTTCAGGATCCAAAGCTTTCAGTCGCAGCAACATAAACCCTAAAAAACTGAAGATTTTTTTTAAAGTGATATAAGGAAGCAAAATTGGCGCAAAATATCAACAGAACCATTAATGCAAGAAAGAAGATAACAACAAAAGAGAATAAGTTAAACTAAAAACCAATTGAATTTTCTTACAAAAATTTATTCAATTTCCTAAAAGAAACAAAAAAAAAACTCAAAATTCTTCTATAGCTCCGTTACAAGTGTAATTTTGGAGTGCAATTTCAATGAAATTGCATGAACCGAAAACACAACGAACGGAGAACGTGGATTCTACTTCTAGTCATGCAAACAAAGCCGATCTAAACCAATAGAAAGAAAACAAACAAAAACAAAAACAAAAACAACAAAAAAGAATGAAATGAAAGAGGAAAGAAGAGGAAGTACCGGAATGATCCGAAGGAAAGTGAAAGCCGAAGAGAAGAGAGAGAGAGAGAGAAAATTCTCAATCCATTTTTTCTCTCTGCAACTTCAACACTTGGAGAGAAAGAGAAAGAAGACAAGAGGAAATTATAGTTTGATGTGCTCTTTGATTTAAGGGAAGAGAATGACTTTTCTTTTTCTCTTTTTTTAATTCTTATATGTAATTTTAATTATTATATTTTAAAAAATATAATTTAGGCATAATATTTAAAACTTAGATATCTTTTTTTTCATTGTTTATTTATTTTACTAAATTTAATCCATTTTTGAAAAATATTTTATCGAAAGTCTTAAGTAACAGTGAAATAATTAGTAAATAAATATTAACGATATTAATTAATAAATAAAATTATTTATAATTAATTTATCTATAATTATTAATAAAGGAAATTGTCGATTGTTTGATAACAATTCTTTATGTATATATTTTACTATCTATTTTATCCTAATCAATATAAATTGTTTTATTAATCATTTTATGTTTTAAATGTAATAACTACATTTTATAATTATTTTCTAAGCATATATTTTTAATAAATTTAATAATATCTTTTTCTTTTAATAATAATTTAAAAAAATAATTTTTATTTATTATATTAAGGTAAAAGTGATACAAAATAAATTGTCTCACTAAATACATAGGAAAAAAATCATATTTTTGTATTTTCTTTAAATATTTTGAGATTTAAATTTGAAAAAAAATGTTATATTTTCGGAATTGATAAATTAATCGAAATTATATTGGTAGAGAAAGAAAATTGAATAAAATAAATAAATAATATAATAAAAAGTAATTAAGTTAATATTTAAATTTGAGTATAATTATTTTTATTCTTTACATATTAATTATTAAATAATTAATTTGATTGGTTCAAAATAAAATAACATATATTTACAATTGAAAATTATAAAATATTATATCTTTCTAAACTATGAAAGTAAAATTTTAAAGAAATATAAAAAATTAAAATTATAAATAAAATATTAAATGATATATATATATATATATATATATATATAAGTAAAACAACGTTATTTAAACAAATATAACTTTCATACCATCATAGTAAAAAATTTAGAAAACTCGTTACTTCGTGTAAAATTAATTAAAACATGTGAAAATAATAAACAATTTTAATACAATTTGAAATATAGTGCTAAAACTGCTCAACATAATTTATTTAAAAGAAATAACGTTTGAAAATCATGAAAATAATTCCCTACCCGTTCCTCGATTTACGCAACATCAACTTCATTAGTAATATCTTCTATAATATTATTTGTTTTCGTATAAATATGATCATCGCAAGTATAAACCATTACCACAAATGCAAGGGTGAGCTAACATCATCAACATATATAATAATACAATTATTATAATATAATTATATAATAATGTATAAGTTCATAACATCAATCCATTTCACAACATAAAACACATTTTTAATCCAAACTCTTATTCAGATAAACCATGTCATCGTCACCAATCACTATCGCTATATGTCATCTTCCGTACTCCAACACACACGACCAGTTCACCAAAATTGACCATACAAACTAACGTATGACTTTCCCGTTCACCAAAACAGGGCCCACGCACCAACGCAGATCTCGCTTGTTCACCAAAGTAGGACCTACGCACCAATGCAAGACTTTCTTGTTCACCAAAACAAGGTTTGCTCACCAAATCAAGGACTTTCTCATATCAAGGCTAAAGAGTACATAGGATGATATATAATCAATTGTCTCAAACACAGTCAACACAACAACATGGTTTATCAAACATCAATAAGGAAAAAGAATTCAACCAACACTACAAACACTCCAAACAACTCAGCACACACACTACAATAACTTGGCAATCACATCACACCACTCGGAAAGTAATTTAAACAATTCGATCTCATCTAGACCAACTCAGCAAAGTTCTCAAAGAGCTTGGCCAACACCATAGACAGCTCGGTCAAGTGCTAAAACCTCCAAGCTCACCTAAACCACACTCAAATAATTTCCAAAACCCTAAACTTGAGGTTCCCAAATAGCACAACCATACAGCTCAACCAAAACACAAACAATTCAAACGACACCTCAAACAGTTCGGTCAACAACACCAGGAGGTCGGCAACCATCAAAAACCTCAAAACGACATAAAGAACATCCAAATCTGAGCTTCAGAACCTCAAAACCAAGGTCTAGAACATCCCAAACCTAGACAACCTAGCTAGCTCAGCCAAACATCACGGCCAGCACAACCACAACTCAGCGAGCCTAAAAAAATGTACATTATTACAAGGAAACATCACAACACATCATTTACTCATCAATCTAGTCATAACACATCATGGAAGCAAGGCAGGAACCATGGAAGCAAGGCAGGAACCATGGAATCATTTACGTATATTGTCATATTTACTTATATATAAAAAGGATTTTATATTTTGGTATTTATAATTATTTTTTAATTAATCTTTTATAAATTAAAATAATTATTTTATCAATTTTAATTTTTAAGTATTTTTTTTAAAATTTAACTATTTTTTTTATTTTACTGTTTTTTAAAATGAATCATTTTGTTACAAAATAAATAGAATTTTTATTATTTTTTATCATCATAAAAAAATGTAATGCATGTACTTTTATCAGTAATTTTAGAGAGATTTTATCCTCAATTTTTTTAATATATATAAAAATAATAATTTATTTTAGTTTTAGTATATTATATATACGTAGTATCTCTAAAAATTCTTTTATTTTTAGTATATATATATATATATATATATTGTTTTTCCTACTATGTTCAAACAGACACCAATACATATATTTCATTAATTGGGATTAAGGATGTAATCAGATTTTTTTTAAACTGATATGATTTTTAATATGCTGTATCATATACATTTTTATGAAACTGATATAATTTTTTTTTATTTGCTATATCATATGCATTTTGTTTTTTGTAAAACACAATATTTTATTCGAGCAAGATAAATTAGTACGAAGATTAAAACATTTACTTAGATATGTAAAGCTCATATCTTGAATTAGAAGTCACTAGAATAAAATTATCATAGATGTCAAAAAATTTCTTTCAAATTCATAAAATAGATAAATTTTCAAAATCTAAAATTCGAAACTCCATATATACATGTACGAGTTGATAACGTACTAACGTTAGATGTACTTTTTCTCTCTGATAAAGAAGATGATAACGCTGGACATTAATTCATATTATTTATGTGTGTGTTTTATGCAATATTATATATTTTAAACTCAAACTTTCTGTAACTAGAATTCTTTTGGAGAGATAAAAATTAATTTTATTTAATTATATTTTAAAATTTTCATAAAACCATTAAAATACTAGAATTGAATTTTTTACAATTTTTAAAAATTATATTTCTCAACTATCATCATTATACTTATTTTATGCCCAATTTGTTTTACATATTATATCATTATACTTCTTTAAAATCTTAAATTCATATAATATATTAATTCATTATCGTTAATTTAAAATCTTAAAAATAATATATTTGTAGCTTTTTTTCTTTTATATACTAATTACTTTATTTGTTTATATTTAATGTATATCTTCAATCCATAAAAACTCTTTTTTGCTCGTACATGTTAAACACAATTTAATTTTTTCAAACTTATTCGTTTCACAAATAGATAGATTTATGTAAAAATACATTGAATTTTTTAAATTTTAACTGTGTAAGAACAATTTATTCTATCCATAAAACAATTTACTCAATACATTAAATAATACATAATTAATAGAAATAAAAATAAATAAATTTTAAGTTGAATTGGGCTTGCCGATTGATTGCAAATCTCCCTAAGCAAAAGTAAAATTTGTTTAACTCCTACAAACTATATGTTATGGCATTGAGAGGAGATTTTTGTTCAAATACCCAAATTTAGAACCTATATAAAAGATAAAATACCACCTCTTAAACATAACTATTATTTTAAAACTTAGATTATGAAGCAATAAGTTTAAATTTATTTTATTTTTGCAATATTAACTTATAAGGTGAGCATTATCTCCATTTTTATTATGTAAATTGATCCAAATATTCATATTTAAACATGCTTATATAAAAATTAAAATAGTACTTCTATAATTATTTTTTAATCTTATATCATTAAAATATAAACTTAATATATCTATCACATAAAATAAATTGATTTTATCTTTAATAATAGATATAAGATTTATAATACATTCTTCCGTTTTATTTATGTTAAAAATTACATGTCAAATAAGATAAATTTATTATATATAAATAAGTGTAAATTTTATTTTATAAATCAATTTTATAAAATTAAGTTAGATTTAAAAATTAATTTTTTAATATGCATAGAAGTTAATTTTTTTTAATTGTGTCACCAATCATCAAATTACTATTATGGTATTAAATTGATTTTATAAAATTAAGTTAAATTTAAAATACATTTATCTTGTGTATGAAACTAGCTATGTGTAATAATAGTAAATCAATAAATTTAAGAAATTTTATTATTGTAAGTTCTAATGTCATATTAAAAATTATCCAATTATAAATTAGTTTGTTAATACGAGATATCCCAGATTCGCATCACTTTATATAGAAGCATGATAATTTTTTTAAAGAGTAAACTTATGAAAAAAGTGATGGTGGAAAAAAAAGAAAAGAAAAGAAGAGGAAAATAAGGTAACATGTGTGATGGGTGACCGACACTAGGCAACCTATTGTCTTTGAGTGGCAACACGTTTCGTTTGGTTTGTAATGTAATGTTGTGTTATGCTTGTTGTCTGTAAAGGTAGTTAGCACTATCCATAGGAGCAGCCTTTTCTTGTCCGCATACAGTGCCCTGGCTCCACCACCCTCCTACAGTTTTTTTATCTTCGACAAAATTAAGATAATGTAACACCCATTTTTTCTTTTTCCCTTATTACCCTTTACACCATGGTTTCACCATTATGGGTAGGGTCTCTTTCAACAACCCTCCAGAGAAAAATATAAAAAAATAAATTCAGTTATAAATATTAAAATTAGTTTATACAGAGTTAAAAATAATAAATAAATTAATTAAATTTGGTATTTTTAGAATCTCAAAATGATTTTAGT